TTAACTATTAAAAGGTCATTTCACATGAAGTCCTTATGACAAACTACGCGACACCAAACGCCCTTTTTGATTACACGCCGAATTCAGCCTCATAACTGTCTATTTCTAATTCTTCTTCTTCTTCTTCAACAGACTTAACAGAACTGATCCTGACGTTTGCATGAGAATTGCGGTCTAAACCGCCAATTCAATAACATACCTATCCTGTCCTCAAGTGCCCCCTGCACCAGCACACCGTATCGAGAAAAAATTTCCAATGCAAGAGAATTTTACTGGGTGGACTTTCAGGGAGGATATGGGAAGGGCGAGCTGTGCGAGGGAGACAGCCGGAAGGAAAGTTAACCAATAGGAACTTAAATCGCTTACACTACGAAAACACCAGGATTAACCCAGTCCTCCAATCAGGCATCGGCTTTCAAGGCCTGACACTGGACTAGTTCTTCAGTGCTATAAAAGGGTTCGGGGAGGTCCAGTTTTGGAAACGGGAAGTAGGGAAGGGCCGTCACTAAATTTTCATCGTAATTCCTCAAGCATTTCCGCCGTCTGTTTATAGTGTTTGTGGTTAGTACGTGGAACAAAAAACTTATTCCGCACCACCCAAAGTATTAGAAAAAGAAATGTTGTAAAAGGAGTAAAACAGACCGAAGCAATAGTTGAGCAGATGGGAAATTTCAGAATAAGGAAGCGAGGCCTATGCTCACACGAGCGTTAAAATCTGTCCACTCTAGCAGGTCTGGCAACCGCCACATGCTATGACTGTCGTTGATTTTTTAAAATGAGAATGATGAATTCCGTAGGCAGACTTTCTTTCCTTCGTTGTAGAAATAGGAGAATGGAACCACTTGTTAAAGTTGATGGCAATTGTTAATTTTAGCGTATTTTTCGATTTTCACATGGTCTTTTGAAACGGACCTCCGTTTCAAATAATTCGAATACGTTTCGTGATGACAGTTGTGCTTTAAGTGCAAATTGCATATGTCACGGTTTTCGTCTTTCAGATTTTGCTTCTCAAATGGACCCTGAAATGACGGTTCCCTCATCCGCTCATATTTCCTATTTCGTGCTGCCCACACACCATTTCATTTACCGGTTTTGGATAGCATTGGTTTAACTTTAAATCGTCTACTATCGTAGATCAACTCCAAGGCAGACAGTGAGTGCATTATTCCGGCTTTTATAAGGGACGTGTTGCAGTTTGGGGGAGGGGGGGGGTTTGGCGCACTGGAGATGCGGTTAGATTTTCTGTTTACACGCGCCACGCACGTGTTGGCCTTCCGCCCTATGTGATCAACTTTTGATGGAAAACACATTCAGAGGTGTGTATTCATACGTGAGACATCTCCAGATTACGTCTCATAGCTGTTTTGCAGATCAAGAATTGTCTAAACTGCTGGCGGTAGTAGTGGTGGATATCCGTCGTGGCCTGCAGGCGATCCCATTTAAATGGAAACGAAGATGTTTGTTCGGGGAAAACCGGGCCCTAGAACGCTGTGTTGCAGTGAGGACAGGCCGAGGGGATGCCTCGCGTGATGATATTGATGGTGGTGGCGTCATGTTGTGGCACGAGAGACCACTTGGACCTGCTGACATTGCGGCAGATCTGCGGGCGTTTACCAAGATCAATCCGCGATCTCAGGGATTGGGCGTTTGCGGCCTTAGCCTGCCGCATTCAAACATTACGACCATCTCATATTATCTCGTTCTCTCGTATTCGGTTGTACTCGAAACGTGCAGCTCCCATTTGACGGCAGTTTTCTATGCTTTCCGATCCTAGGCGAGGTTACCCCGATCTGTTAGATCATTTGTAGGGGTTCGAGAGAGCTCTTCCGAGTGTCCCTGAAGTGTTGCTTGTGTCTTCCTTGTCCGCGAGCGCTCTTAGCAGCCCGGCTGTCGAGCAGACGCATGGGTATGGCCCGTTATTCACGCTCACGACGAGGTCGCTCCATCGCACCGGTTTCAGCATAACGGGGTTGCCTCCCGGTGTTCATCAGGGGGGGAACTATAATGAAAGTAGTTTAGCTTCCTTGAGGAACCTTCGTACGCTCTCCACGTCCTCTTCCGATGTAGGGGCGCGGTTAACACGGCAGTCCTGTGCGCCTTCACTGTCCTGTGGAGACAGATGCTTCGGTGGTTTCGGATTGAGTGTTGCTGCCTTGGAGATCCGACTTGCAATTTATTTGCTCATTTTTGGGTCTCTTGAGGCACATCTTTGAGGCGAGTTTCAATGATATCAACTATGAGTTCATTGTGTTCTTTGGTTGACGCCAGATCGTCCATATCCTCTGTCTTCTCCACATTGACAGGAAGTCTAAAGGTTGAGCAATTAGAAGTAAGTAGTTACACGCATCGCTGCATGGCCGCATACTCCCCAAACAGACCATGCGGTGGATGCGCTGGACCATCACGGGGCCCTATTGGATTCTGGCAGGCGTTATATGATTGCGCAACATAACAAATGCCAACATTTCTGGGTGCGGTGGCAGACCCGGTTGCCGGCAGACGTCGTGCATACCGGGTCTCAGGCCACCTCCCTCCATTGTTGTTGGTTAAAATCGTGGTCATTTGCTGTGTGGACCAGAGGATGGGGAGCGCCAAGGTACGGGCTCGACCGTGCCATTTATCTGCGACGTCATCCGCCTCGGGTCTTCTTGTCACTGTATTGATACCGGGTCCGGGTGGGGGAGGAGAGAATGCGGTAGGTACCGAGCAAGTCTAGATTCACTATAAACTAAATCACGCACATGTCCCCGTCCCTGCTCTCACCTTACTGTGGAGCATATGGTGGGCATCGCCGGCAAGGACGATCGAACTGTCGCATGGCCGCTCCCGTCGTAGTGTTTAGCGCACAGACATCTGTGAATAAGAGGTTGGGACTTTGGACTTGGGTACTTTTGCCTATGCTTGGATGCATTAGATGTTAAGTAATTGTCTGTTGTTTCGACAATTGTTTATCCATGGCCACTCCTACTGATTTGTTTCCTTCGGCATAGGGGAGAACATGGGGCTGAAGTAGTGGGAGCGAATACGCGGTCCTAGTTCACCGCACAAGCTTCCGAGGTTGGCGCATTCCCCAAATATCCTTCTGAAGTGCTCGGGACATCAGAATGCCGACATCGTTTTTCAGAGCTCGTCACAGCTCTCTGCGTCGAAGGCCGTTATTAAATCAATGTGGGTAATGTGGAATCCACAATGACTTTGGGAAATTGTCATTGCTCCAAGTGTTAGGTTCTGGCACCTAGGTGGAGGTTTGGTCATCGAGAATGAAGAGGAAGATTCACTGACGGTTGTCGTAAATTTACTGGTCTCTTCTGCACGTTGTAACTGGACAATAGCTGTGTGCCTGAAGGTCTGTGTGATTTGCATGTTACTTGGCTGCGGGTTTGGTGCCACGGTCGTACTTTAAAAACGACAAGACAGCAGCCAGTCAACATTCCGCAGACAGAGTCTGTTAATAGTACAGTACAGCAGGTGGGCTAACTCATAACATGTCAACCGAAATTTCGAAATTCATTTTCGTTTCGGAAAGATTAATTAAGTAGGGTTTCAAAACTAATTATCGTACAGCTTAATTATACAATAATCCGGTTCCTCAGGATGCGGGCTTTCGAGCGAACTTCTTTCCGGCTGAATGCAGAAACCGTACTCTGCAGATAATGACTACTTAAGCATCATGATTTTTTCTAATTGATTCTCGATGCCTTTAAAAATTCAATTATATTTCGTAGAAAACATGCATAAACATATTCACTCTTTTACTCATTCGGTAGCATATTATGTCTTCTTTCAATGTTATACTCGAAGGAAGAGTAAATTTCGGTTTTAAAAAAGTTTCTAATTATGAGATTTTTAAGTACCGTGAAATGGCCATTCACAAAACCTCAGGCCTCTGCATTTACCAATGTGGCTTGTAAAGTTAACAATATGACTCAAATCCACGGCTGAATGTTATGATCCCCATATGGTCTTTTCTTTATACCTTCGAGAAATGTATGGTTTTCCATACGTGGAAACTATACGACTTGTAGTTTGGAAACCCTGGATGCAAGTAAAACGTCGGGTCGTGTTCGAAATCATCTAGAAATTGGAAAAGTTTTTGAAAACCGAATTATATTTTTCCTTCGAATATAGAATTGGAAGAAGACGTAAGTTTCTACCGAATGAACAAAAGAATGAATATTTTCATGCATGTTTTCCACAAAATATAATGAATTTTTAAAGGCATCGAGAATCAATTAGAAAAAATCATGATGCTTAAGTAGTCATTATCTGCAGAGTACGGTTTCTGCATTCAGCCGGAAAGAAGTTCGCTCGAAAGCCCGCATCCTGAGGTAACTGAATTATTGTATAATTAGGCTGTACGATAATTAGTTTTGAAACCCTACTTGATTAATCTTTCCGAAACGAAAATGAATTTCGAAATTTCGGTTGACATTTCATGAGTTAGCCCACCTAGTGTACATTACACTGAACTCGCTTCCTGACGAGAATGCAGCCCAGCGGTTGCAAACAGCGCGACCTAGCGGCCTTCACGTTGTGTTCTTCCCGGACGAAAGGTATGTGGTGGTGAGGGGAAGATCGTGTTCTTTGTCAGCCTACAGGCAGAAGGAGTCCGTTGATCCTGCGGATATTTTCTGCCTAACGTTCTAACACCATGGATCGTGACTTGTGCCTTTGTGACTACTGAAGACACCAAAAACAAAAAAATTATTTATCCTCAACAAAGTCAAAATTGAGGACTCGTCTTACAATTGATTGGGACTTGCTAATGAGGGAGCATGGACGCCGATGACGAACCAACTAGCGGTCGCACGGTCATAAGAACATCTTTGGCTGCCTGTAAGAGGCAAAACAGCCGTCTTATGATGTATTTTGATGACGAGAGCGACTTCAGCTCTGTGGCGCTGCCTCTGAACCTCCGCTTCAGAAGAAGGTATCTCCTTCCCCTTGTTCACTCACCTGTCCTTGAGAAGGGAAGCGAGTCTCACTCTGGACCTCTACGTTCACCTAGCAGCACGACAGGGCCGTCCTCCTGTTCGGCCGGCTGGACATTGGGTCGCCTAACGGGGAACGAACCATCCGGGCACTTTGCTTTGGGAGAGAAGGGGACAGGGATTGGTGAAGGGGCACACCAGGCACTCTCATCTGATTTGGTCCACCGATTGAAGCTCTTACTGGGATGTGGCAGCCGCATACGGGACAAAGCCTCTTGGCCAGGTACAGTACTTACTTGTACTTGATACGGCTGCGATTATGCCTGATCTAGCCGGCCTCGATGATGTCCCGAACTGTACCTCTCCACGCGTGACGATCCGCGGCATGAGATCTGGACGGCTCAACCCATTCCCTTCGCCAAAGACGTAGACCGAATACCGAAGGTCCAAAAACCACCTCCATGTCTTGACAAACTGTATCGAGCCAGGTTTTGAACCGACTCCCCCTTCGACGCCTCCAATGAGGCAACAGTGCCGGATCGAGGTCAGTAACACTGAGCTCCTGAGATGGACGACGAAGAACATGCCCGAATCAACTCAGTCGTCTTTCTTGGATGGCCTGAGTTATCCTTGCGATGTTGTCGCAGCGAGCGCGGACCGTCTCATTTGAGACGAAGACGGTGAACTTCACTCGAACGATGGTCTTCAAGCAGTGGTGGTCAAATGCCTCCAGTTTTCGCTCGTCCTCCACGCGCAAAGCCCAGCATTCACAACCACGGAGAAGGACAGACCGGAAAGATGCACGGTACACGCGAATCTTAATGGCGATGGAGATGTCACGTCGGATCCATAGGCATTTCGGAAGGTTTGAGAAAACCCAGCGGACAGCATCGATTCGGGAGACAATGTCGTCCTTATTATGTCCATTAGGCAGCAGCCTCGCCCCGAGGTATTTAAAACCGTCTACTTCTTCAAGTTGACAGCCATCAATCCCGAGGGGTGCCTTTTCCTGGTCAGGTACAGCGTCGGACAACTGCCGCTTTTCATGCATACGAACAGGAGAAGCCGAGGAGGAGGGGTCGCTGTCTATGTTAGCTACAACCTAACCGCGGTCCCCGAGCATAATGCAACAACAACAACAACAGCGGAAGTCGAATTCCTATCTTTAACTATCTCCACCAAATATGCCAGGCCGCTGGCGTTTGCAGTTGTGTATCGTCCCCCAAACCAGATTTCCGAACACGATAGCCTTCTCCTAAGGGAACTGAGCAAGACCTGCTCGAACAGAGACGTCCTTATTGTAGGGGACTTTAACGCCCCCAATATCGACTGGCAAGCTTGGACGGTTGCGGGTCCATCGAACACATTCGGGCAACATTTGCTTGAATTGGCAGCAGAAAAACTACTTTTCCAGAATGTAACTCTCGGAACACGTGTTAGGGAAGGGCAACGTTCAAATTGCCTCGATCTGGTGCTCACTCGAGATGAGGAGAGTGTGCTGGATATACAAGATCTCCCGCCAATTGGTGCTAGTGATCATATTGTGATGCTCTTCGAGTATTCCATGTTCTCCCAGCCTAATTCACCTGAACAATTACAGGCAAATATCTGGAAGGGGGATTTTTCTAGCATGCGAACGCAAGCCTCAGCAATACCGTGGACAACCACATTACAAGGAACAGTTAATGACTATTGGAGCACGTTCAGCTCACTGGTCAAAAGAATCGTTGATCTGAACTGTCCACTCAGACGAAAGAAAACTAGCAACCGTCCGCCGTGGATAAACCGGAAACTTCAAACCGCGTTTAAGAGGAGAAATAAAGTGTGGAGACGCTATCGACAAACAGAAAGTCCTGAAGACCTGACGGAATACAAGCGACAGCGGAATGCGTGTAAACGCGAGGCTCATAGACTTCGAAGCAACTATGAGCTGTGCATATTACAAAATTCCTTGGAGCATCCTAAAATCCTCTATAGTTACATACGTAAGGGACAGAGCAATCGTGAACCGATTCCAGCGCTAAGATCCCAAAACGGAGTAATTGAGACGGATGACCACCTGAAAGCATCAGCCTTCTCCAATTTCTTTCAGTCGGTATTCACTCATGACACAAACCCTCCTGCCATGCCATATGTAGACCAACGACAATATCCCTCCTGTCCTGCATTGGAAGACAATCTTTTCTTCTCACCTACATTGATAAGGACCGAACTACGCCGGCTGAAACCTGCCAAATCACCTGGTCCAGATGGAATTCATCCACTTGTCCTCCGAGAATTAGCTGATGTACTCTGTGAGCCGGTGTCCATGATATTTCGGAAGTCCATGGAAGAAGGCGAACTGCCGGAGGAGTGGAAAACGGCCCATATTTCTCCAATCTATAAAGGAGGATCCAGACTGGAACCCGAAAACTACCGTCCTATTAGTTTAACCTGCATTCTATGCAAGGTAATGGAACGACTTATTAAAGGGCATTTAATGTCGTATCTGGAGCAGAGGGACCTGTTATGTGCTGCTCAGCACGGATTTCGTCGTGGTCACTCCTGTCTTACAAGCAGCCTTTACTCTCAGGAAAAGTGGACAAGAGCCACAGACCAGGGCCGTCCAGTGGACGTCATCTTCTTTGACTTTAAGAAGGCGTTTGATAGCGTTCCTCATGGACGACTGCTACAGAAGATTTGGGAGTGTGGAATACAGGGCAGCATTTTTAATTGGATTAAAAGTTTCCTGTCATGCAGGCTCCAAAAAGTCATCGTTGGTGCTACTACATCCGAATGGGTGCCAGTAAAAAGCGGCGTTCCGCAGGGCTCAGTCTTGGGTCCTCTCCTCTTCCTCATCTATATAAATGACTGTCCTGCAGACCTTGAATGCGATGGCATCATGTTTGCGGATGATATAAAGATGTGGAAAACAATCAGCTGCGTTGAAGATGCGCAAAAGCTACAGGAAGATGTTAATAAGCTGGCTGCGTGGTCCAGCAAGTGGCTCCTAGCGTTCAACGTATCCAAGTGTGTAGTCTTGCGACTAGAATCTGGACGGAGGCGCTTCCCAAAACACCAGTACATCATAAATGGGGTTCCACTAAATGAAGTGGACACGCACAAAGACCTAGGTGTCTGGACATGCTCAAACTTGCTGCCCTCTCAGCACTGCAAAAGAGTCGTCCAAAAGGCAACCAGCACCATGCACTGGATTAGGCGTGCCTTCAAAATCTTTCCTCCAGAACTCTTCTCACAGATATTCGGCACATTCGTCAGACCGCACTTGGAATACGGAATGCCATCATGGATGCCCTGGATGAAGAAAGACAGTGATGCCATAGAGCAGGTGCAACGACGGGCTACAAAACTGGTGGACGGTCTCAGGACTCTGTCATACCCAGAAAGACTGATCCAGTTAAATTTGTTCCCCCTATCCTATAGAAGAATGAGGTGTGACCTATTATGGACATTCCGCATTATCCACGGGCAGGAATGTTCGCTCAAAACTGACGACTTTTTTGAATTCACGACCACGAGTCACCTGCGCGGTCACCCTTACAAAGTCAAGCGGGAGCGTACACGCCTAGACAATCGGAAGTTTTCCTTCAGCCAGCGTGTTGTTCGGCCATGGAACTCACTCCCAAGTGAAATAGTGACATCTGCTACAACCGCTGTATTCAAAAGGCAGCTGGATCGTTTGATATTTGATAAACGACGACTTTCACAACAGGACTACCTGCGGCCAGCCATAAATTTCATTTCTTGATTTCATCCCTACTTAACACACCCCTGACTCTTAATGAGATGCCCCCTCTCAAACTATGCAAATGACTGCACTTTATGCTGATTGTATATAACTGCACTTAAAATTTCATGTGTACACTGAGAAGACCGCCTGCCGCACGCTTAGCAGTCCCGCATTGTGAAAGTTTCCCGTGAACAAATATGTTACTGACAAAATTTTAGTAAGATGTACATTTAACATTTATATTTTATGTACCGTTTTCAATAGGGTCATCAAGGGCATTGCCTATTACCCTAAAATACAATACAATACAATACAATACAATTAAGAACCAATAAGTGTACCAGGTTTCGATTCACTGGTTCAGCGACAGAGGGAAGTGTTTCGTGAACGGCCTACGAGTGCAGACCGACTTGCACTTAGTGGTTTGTTACAAAGTAGAATGCGAGTGGGAAAATTGAGAAACGACTAGTCATTGCGCACAAAAACCTTCCATCCCATCCAATAATCCGACTTCGTATTTTTTAACATTCACGGATTGAAGCAGCGACTGTTTTGGGAAGCCAGAATCGAAGGTCTTCAGTTTGTGGAGCAATTTGCTGAAACGGTTTAACTCACAACTCGCGAGTTTTTTAGGGCGCCATGCGTTTCATCGCCTCACGGAATTTACATGCCACTGTGAATGGATAAATTTCTTCTCTGAAAAACACGTTTAACCAAAATAATTTTCATCAGAAGCGGTTGAGGATTTTCAACATCCGTAGGAGGTCCATCCAATTAAATATCTCCAGACCATCAGAGCCAGTTGAGGGCTGATTTCTGTTGCAGGCGGCTCTCTATTAACACAGGGGTGAGAGCTACTATCGCTCTCCTATTAATTGTTCGCCTCATCTCACCTGCAGGCATCTGCGTGTTGGAAAAACCCCTGAGGTGCACGGTGTCATATTCTCCTCACATGCCGGAGACGATCAGTATGCTGCTTGCGGTGGCAGTAGTCCTCGGCATCTGGTCCCCCCCACCCATCCATTTTATTCGATGACAGGGAATTTACTAGAACACCTACACCCCGGAAGGCTCACACAGCGTCGCATAATTGCCTGAACACACAAGCTAGATCCTCCGTCTTATTTTGCAAACTATCCCCGCAGCACGTGAAGCGTCCCGAGTAGATGCAGTGCTTTCAATTTCCAGAAAAGTGTGTTTCCAAACATTTAACTACTTCGTGTCCTTACCCACAAAAACTGTTTATAATTTCATGACAGTAGGAACCATTAATTGTCTGAAACTCCATACCATCTAATCAAGGTTTTTATTCGTTATTTTAAGCAAAAAAGGTCAGACTACACATTGCGCATGACCCTATTTGTCAGCTATCATTATGTGGTACAACAGTAATGCCATAGAGGCCACATTAAGAAAGAGCCACTGGCAGCCCTCAAGGCCTTTGCGACGTTCCCGCCTGGTCGAGGTTCAAGTCATCCTTATTGTGGGTTGGCGCACCTGGATTAAGAAACAAGTGGCGTGTGTGGTACGCGTAGGCGACGCGTTCAGCCTAGATTTTGAGTGAAATAGTGACGCTTTCTTGGGAGCATGGGACGGTTAGAATGAGAACAAGAGCTGTCCTCGTTTTCAGTATTATGACTTCCAACTGTTAATTGCTAGAACCTTCAGGAATTTAGTACACGCAATCATCTGACACGTCCGAACACTTACACAGTACTTGCATTGTGAGCAGAAAAGTTTTCTTCGGACGAACGTTTGAATTCGACATATCTAGGCGCAATGTGACATGTAAAGTGTGTGCCTTGATACATAAGGTATTTGTTGCTGCTGAAATGCGATCCATGTTGGTTATTCAAGCACGGAGCCGCGTTCACTGAAGACGGGGGTAGAGAGCGATGGGGTGTATTTGTGTTCGGACGTTTCCAGTAGCTGTTTTGACTACCCATCTTTTGAGATTGGAGAGATTGGAGACAACTAGCTGCAGGCATGTTGATGGAAACTGTCAGACGACCTAACAGCAGTCAGTCAATTCAGGTGATGTCGATATCTAAATTTAATCAGAGCGAGGCAGGAGTAATTCGAGCTGTACACTGGTGACCCTATCGACGTCGAACATCGGATTGTATAGTCCGATCAAATGAACCTCGGTTTTGACTGCTGGACATGACGCAAATATGCGTGTATGGAAAGTTACCGGTCAACCAGATCGTGCAGATCTGAGGGGGACCGGACGCCGACTCATGGAGGGGGGGGGCGGTCTGGACTCGCCAACCCGAAAGGAACAAAGGAATATGCATAAACTGATCGCAGAGATATCGGAACTTGCGTGGCTTGTCTTCCGGATGGAGGACAGTTAATCGTTTCTCGGTCGAGATGAGGACCTCAATTCCATTGCGATAGGTTTTACCATAAGTTCGGATAATTCAGACCAGTTCCCTACGTCTTTCAGGCTCGCTAACGCCCTCCCAAAAGAGTGAAAGCTGCTGTCGTCTAGGCAACAATCCAGACGAAAATCATAAATATGTCAATTGCACTTTATGTTGAAATAACTGCACGCAGGCTCGACGAAATATTGGCCGAATATTGGCTCTCCTTCCTTTATAACAACAGCTTGCTGTCGTCACTTAACATCTGCTCCTGATGCATGCCGAAGGGTTCGCTCTGCGGTTTAATGGATTTCGTGTTTGTGCGTCACGTCCCCGTTGTTGCAGTCAAATTAGTTTGATAATGAACACTTATATTCCCACTTATGTTTAGTTCGTTTATCTTACTACTTAATTTTATGAGGTAGTTTGTATAGTAAACTAATCGGTCACGCGCATGCCAGCGCGTGAAAGCAGACCGGCCAATCTCACGAGAATATAGGCTTTCGATTTCGGTCAGTCAAGTTAGAACGTTTTAAGTTACTTCAGTTTTTTCCTAACTACGACAGAAATTCGACTAATTTGCTTGGTGTGTTCTTCTGCAGCTTTCAGATGGGCGTGAATTAATTGGTGAACGGGAACATTGCTTTCCGCATTCGTGCAAATGTTGCGACCGGCCCTTCCACTTGACATAGTTCGTTGCCTTCAACTTCATACAGATATGTACCTGCCTTTATAGGCAACTGATTGAGGACACTGAAAATCACGAAACATTCGGCGATATTTCCAGGCCGATTTGAAACTTAACGTAGCCGAGAACAAAGGAAAAGTGCAAATTAATTTTACGGAAGAAAAGTTCCTCTCATACTCACAGAACGTTATGTTTACGATTACCGCTGCCATATGTATTTAAATTTATTGATCCCCGACCGACCCGGCAACACATGACCTTATGAAAACATTTACTCTATCGGCGAAATAAAGTAAAATCCTGTTTGCCTTAGCGAACCCAATTCCAACTAATGCGAATGGGCAAAAATACAATGAACTCTCGGGACACCGTTTCGAAATCTGTACTAAGGACGTAGGCCGTTGGGAAACCGCCATACTTGATATTACACTAATTCTTAGAGGATATTTTAATGCTAACCTCATTAGAACGCTACTGCTTAATGATATCCTATTTATGCAGTCGTATTTACTCAGTCTTTTTTGCATTGACAGGCGTTCTGTACGCCAAACTGAAATTTACTAAACTAGAACTATTTCGATATTTTCGGAGTTTTCTCCATTTCTGAAAACGAGACAACTAGACATGACACCTTTCATCAGATAGGTCACCTATTGCAGTCTGCAGGTCAGAGGTCGTGCTCATAAGGACTATCGATTTCCATCGCTCACAGCTGAAAGCTTTCAAGTCCTTTTACTCTCTAATAATCGTGGTAGAACGTTCCTCGTTAGGCTCACCCCACCTTACTTTTGAGACTGCTTGTGCGCGGACTCCGAAAAGTGTAATTTCGGGATCAAAAAATGGTCGCGCTTAGTCAGCTACCGTCCTGATCATGCCAAAAAATGCCTACGGCATTGATCAGTGCGCTGTCACGAGGTTCATATTGGCTTGGACTGTAACGCTGACAAAAGAAGGTGCTTCCAGAGATGTAAAGGTATCTCAGTGAAACTGTCTGAGGTGTCGGAATTGTTTCCCCACTGAAGGTTAGGTGTCCTGTTTTTTTTCTCCGGTTTCTATATCCGTACATTTTCGTTGGCGAACAGCTCCTCCTGTGTGCTCGTTCGAGGATTCCTTGGGGTTTTACAGGCTCAGAAGCGCCGGGTATTAAGAATGCGTAAGACATTAATGTAGATTTTTGATTTCCCCTGCAGTCCCAGGTGCTCTATGAATGAAACACCTTGCCCAGACAGACACGCAGATCGCTGTTCTGCGTTTCAACCAATTCTTTAACCAATGATTTACGACAAACGCCCACGTCAGACGGCTTGCCTTGGCTGCAGTATATTCTACTCAAGAAGACTTCTTCTAAGAACGAATACATAATCATAACGAGTATTTGTCATAATTTTCTACCTCTTTTCGTATTAATAGACAACCCCTGGAACTAACGTTTGCACGTCCATGTGGACATGAGACAGTTGGCATAATAAGGCTGGCGAATAAGTCCTGAGTAAACACACTGATCCCTACCGGTAGGCACTATGTACATGCTGCTCGCTCCACCAACCACTGTTTGTTGATCTGAAGACAGATCCAGCGCACACAACCTACTCACTACCGAAGGACCCTCCAGGTGAATGCGCAACCTTTCTGAGCGAAAGGTCCACGTGTGGTCTACGAGTCTGAAGTCCTCCGTGAATGTGATATTCCCCCTCAAAGAGAACTTCCTCCTCATGTTGAAAGCGTCTATTAAAGACGTTTCCACGTACGTGGACAAGTGCTCCGTGGAGAACAACGACGCTGGTGAGTCTGAAGCATGCCTTTTCTTCGTATCGCGGATTATTTCGAGCAGTATTTCATTCGCTTCACAGTCAACACGTAGCCGAACCCAACGGTCACAAGCACACTTGGTTATGTCGAAAAGGAGCGGAAGATAAGTGTTACCAGTTTTGAACAGAGCGGAAACCGAGGCGGGGCAGACAAAGTGCGTGTGTGCGAGAGCGTTGCAGAACAGGGAAATGCGTATGCGAAAACAGGCGAGTTGTCCAGTTGGTCAGTCATTGCAAACACAATTCAAACCCTCGCACACGGCCAGAATCCAGGGCTAACTGCCAGGTAGTGAAAATTAGGGAGAAATACAGTGAGTGACCGATCTTATGAAACGTTAGCTGAAATTCTGAAATGCGTTTTCTATTGAGAAGGATTATCTAGGCGCGGTTGTAATACTGGTTATCTTGCGGCATAGTCCAATAATATTTAGGGCACGACAGGATGCCAAATTTTGAATGCACTGCTTTCTAATATACTGTAAAAATCGAACTCGGTAAAAAAATGACTACTTAAGCAGCATGCATTTTTCGATGGTCTTGCAAATTCAAATATATTTTATAGGAACCACGAAAAAATAAGCTTTTTTCAGTCGTTTGACAGAGAATTACGTCATCGTTATAATTTATACTCGAAGAAGCAGTATAATTAGGTTTTTTAAAAGTTTATAATTATGAGACTTTTTAAGACCGCCCAATGTCCATTCATACAGCGTCGTACCTGTCTGTTTACCACTGCTCCTAATGAAACGCACAACATAGTCCGCATGCATTGCAAAATTTTATAGACACTATATGATGTCTTCTTTAAAGGCATAAAAGAATATGTGACTTTCTTTAGCGGAACGCATACACCTTGTAGACTGGAATCACTATGAGCTAAGGCAACGGCTGATCAGGTTTCTAATTATTCGGCAACTAGAAAACTTTTTTAAACCTTATTATACTCCTTCGTCAAGTGCAAAATATAAATATGATGTGATTATCTATCAAACGGCTGAAAGAAAGCAAATTTTTGTTCGTGGTTTCTATAAAATATATTTGAGTTTGCAAGACCATCAAAAAACAACGGGAAAATGCATGCTATTGAAATAGTCGTTTTTTTATCGACTTCACTTTATACAGGAGATTAAAAAGCAGTGCATTCAAAATCTGACATCCTGCCGAATCCGAAATATTATAGGATTATGTCTTAAGATAATCAATATTACGCTGCGCCTAAGTAATCCTTCTTAATCGAAAACACCTTTCAGAATCTCAACCAAAATTTCATGAGATCGATCACTCACTGTAATATAGGGGTGTGGGAAGTGAACATTTAACAGTCGTCAAAAGTCTTATAACTATAAAGCTTTCTAAAACCTTAAGGAACCCTTTCTTCACTTGCCCGACTTGAAGATGACGTAATTTTCTACCAAACGTCTACAACATGTGACATTTTTGTACTGGCTTTTTATAGAATGCACTTAAATTTGTCAGGACATAGAAGACAAATAGGAATAATGCATACTACTTACGTAGTCATTTTCTACCTAGTGTGGTTTGTTTGTGCGGCCGGAAGTACAGTAGATGTGCTAACTTATGAAATCTCAACCAAAATTTCGAAATGCGTTCTCGTTTCGAAAAGATAAATTAAGTAGTGTTGTAAAACTTATCATCATACAGCATAAATCTATAATGACCCAGTTACCTCAGGGTGTCTGCTTTCGAAAGAACTTATTATCGGCTGCATGCAGGATCTATACTCTGCAAAAACGACTACTTACTTAGTATGCAATTTTCTCATTGATTTTCGATGTCCTTGAAATTTCAATTATATTTCATGGAAAAATATATAAAAATATTCATTCTTTTACTTATTCGGTAGAAAACCACGTTTTCTTCCAATTTTATACTCAAAAGAAGAGTATAATTTGGTTTTAAAAAAAGTTTCTAATTGTAAGATTTTTAATACCATTAAATGGCCGTTCATGAAACGTCATGTATCTGCATTTACGAATGTGGCTTGAAAAGTTAACAATATTGCTCAAACCCACTGCTTAATTTTATGAACCTCATATGGTCTCCTCTTAACACCGTAGAGAAATGCATGATTTCCGTACACGGAAAGCATACAGCTTGTAATTTTGAAACCCTGAATGCAAGTGTAACAGCAGGTCGGGTTCAAAATTATTCGGGAATTAGAGAAGTTTTTTAAAACCGAATTTTATTTTTCTTTTGAGTATAAAATTGGAAGAAGACGTGATTTTCTACCGAATAAGTAGAAGAATGAATATTTTTACACATGTTTTCCATGAAATATAATTGAATTTTCAAGGACATCGAAAATCAATGAGAAAATTGCATACTAAGTAAGTAGTCGTTTTTTGCAGAGTATAGATCCTGCATGCAGCCGATAATAAGTTCTTTCGAAAGCAGACACCCTGAGGTAACTGGGTCATTATAGATTTATGCTGTATGCTGATAAGTTTTACAACACTACTTAATTTATCTTTTCGAAACGAGAACGCATTTCGAAATTTTGGTTGAGATTTCATGAGTTAGCACATCAACTGTAAGTCCATTCAAAAACCGGTGCCCCGGCGTGACTGAAATATCAGGGGAGTATGCTGGACAGTTATAAATCTTATATTCCACTTATTTAATCCCCTCTAATCAAAAACACATATCAGAATTTCAATTAACATTTCATGAGGTAGGACAGTTACCGTAGGAGAAGACTCGGGGGGAATGTTGGGACACGTTTTTGAATCAAACTCCCCCGGCAAACCATTTGACTGCCTTTCAAATGATGTTAAAATTGCTGCTCACAAGACTACGTGCAGTGCTCGCTCTCATTCACATGCCTAAAAAATTTCAAAAGAGTATATTGGGATTGTTTTAAATGACTTTTTGTATGGCTTGTCCATTTTAGTTACATATTTTCATGGACACTTGCCAAGAGCATTGCCTGCTCAAGTCACTTTAGGTGTTCTTTCTCTCACGTATGGTAATTTCCGCACTTCCTTTTACATATCACAGCCGGATTTCAGCTTCATTTCTGTTAGGAACCAGCCAACACTTAAATTTGTCATTACTCACGTTTCACTTTTATTGTTAATGTTTGGGTGTGCCTACAAATATGGTCCAAACTGTCATCTGAATTAACACACTTCTTCGGTAAATGCCTCCAATAAATATTTTATTTTGGAGGTTTTGATAAATAGAACTGTATCTACGTCTGTGTGCAACCAGCTGAACACGCTAAAAATCGTGAAATATTCACCGGTATTTTAACAAAGATCTAAAACTTAGCTTGCTCCCCACAGGACAACACCTTAAGGAAATTTGCCTAAATATGCATAAAATAGTAAATTTACGATCGCGGCTACCAATTATATTCAAATTTATTTGTCGCTGACGAGATTGTCAACATGCGAGCTTATGGAAACTTTTATTCACGTGAGGTCCCCATTGGCGAAATCAAGAGAATTCCTGTTTGCCTTAGCCAACCGCATCTCAGAAGATGTGGAAACGGGAAAAATAGAGTCATTTCTTGTGAAATCTATACTTAAACTATAGGCTCTTGGCTAATCACATACTTGACATTACATTCATTCCCAGAGGATATGTAAGTGCAAACTTCAGTAAAGGACTCTTTTCACATTTCGGTTTACTTTTACCGTTTTATTTACTCAGCTTTGAGTGGACAGGCTTTCTGTGCACATAAAACTTAAGTTTGTCCCGTTACAACGATCTCCAACATCATTTTAAATCTTCAAATTTCGAAAGAGTTTGTTATTTCTAAGCAAAATAAGATTACCTTCAATATATCTTTTAGGATTACAATTCACTTAAAGCCGTTTAGAGTTAATTCGAAGTTTTGGTCTGGTTTGCAAGTAATTGGCAATGTCTCGTTAATTTCGTCATATTTCATGAGTTGGTAAGTTTATTGCATATACGGCTCCCCCAGTCTCCACACTAAACGACCGGCAAACTGGAAGAACGAGTGAGATTGACATTGGAGAACATTCTCCTGCGGTTTTTCGGCGTATTCCTCACTATACTAAGTTCGACATACTTTGAAACTATCCCGACGCGCTAAAAGTAGCGGCTCGAAAGTTTGCTAGCTGGTGGGATAAGTCGATCCTCTCACTACGGGGAGTAGATCTGCAGTGTCTTTCCTGCTCACCGCTGCTACGTGCTCAGTCATGCGCGTTCAGAGTTATCTCCCGGTGCTTAATTTTAACAGTAACCGTCTGGTCGGTCATAAACGCCCTTACGTAGAGGCGCTATATAGGCGCGTTGAACTGCACTGCAGTGAGGCGGGAGACAAGGTTGCTGGATTCCGGTATCTTCGATGGGTACTAAGAGCCACTTGGTTTCCCGCGCAACTTTGTCAACAATTGCGTACGCAGACGAAACCAAAAATCAAATCCAGCCGGCCCTAAATTTTGGCGAGCGCTTCCGTACGTTAGGAACGTCGCGGAAGCGGTCGACTGCCTTCTCACTCCACTGGGATTTGGGCTTGCACACACGCCGGAGGCAACCATCAGGCGCCAAGTCATGAGGCCGAAAGACCCGCTGACACGGCTTGAAACGTCTGGAGTCATTTACCGGATCTGATACAGTTGCGTACAGTGCAACTACGTCAGAAAAATTTGGAGATTATTCCGAACGCACATGGCTGAGCACGCAGCAGCGGTGAGGAGGAAAGATGCCAGCTCTCAGGTAGCAGCTCATTCCACGGAACCTGGCAATATTTTCAGGTTTTAAGAGGCCGAAATCCACACAGGGGCTGACAACCGCGTGAACCGCGATCTGCTTGAATCATGGTTCTCAGGTCCGCAATCCATTAACAAGCGCAATGATCTCCCGGTACCATATTCAGTGCTGAGACATTTCCTGAGCAGGGGAATCAGTCACGTGGGGAGGGAGCGGGCGATCAACAATCCCAGCGACAGCGAGCCAAGTTGTCAAGTCATCCTCGCGTCAGCATCCAACGCCGATGATGAAAATGCAGCAATTAATGACTTGGACGCAGACTAATGAGTTATCATTGCCCTAATTGCGACCCCCAGCGGTAATCACGAGAGATGTTAATTATAGTACGCACGTGGCCCTACGGCAGCTACGTACTATAAATACCGCCGTCTTTGTGCCTCCACTACCTTTATCTATAACCGTCTCTGATGATGGGTTTGAGTGAGAATCCGAGACGTCAGACCAATAAACTTCTTGTTCTAGTAATCGCATCTTTTTTTCCTTCTGAGCTGGTTCCTGAAACTACCCTGTTCACTTCTATCGGCAATATATAGCGCTGTTCTGCTACCTATCTCACTGCCCAAGCACCCACTAACATGGAAAAATTTTTTTAGGAGGTTTAGCCAATTATTTTGAGAATACTTTGCAATAGTCCTGTTAAAGTAGACGGTTAAAGAAGGTCTCTCCAGGGCCAGTAAGCAAAAACGCAAGCGTGTAACATAACCGCCAGTAAAAAGTTGCATTTGTGTAACTGAAGGCTGTCTCGTCAAGGACCACCCACGTCGCTCCTGACCGCAGGACCGACTGTACCCTTCTAACTGAAGGCATACTCTTTCTGCTGTCCTGTTTCGCCCACAAAAAGGAACAATCTCTGGCCTGAACATTCTTCATATTTGTGAAGAATGCCTGATAAGCACAAACCCAACTGGGTGAAGACCCTTATCTTGTTATAAAATGTCTGCAGTATGGCTAATTACGACTGCATGTAACATAATGGACAATATAACGGCATAGATAAGCAAGGTTACAGTTAAATAATAAGCTAATCTGAGAGTTGCTATAAACACTGGGGTTCTCTGTTAGATTTTAAACCATTTCGTGTTCCTTCAGGTGAGTAAAGTTTAAAAGCCCAAAAATATACTGTTATCACTAGATATCCACAGCCAACATCAAGGGCGTATCTGTTTGATAGGGTATTTAACGGGTTTTGCTTTTAGAAGCTTCCAAAAAGTCTACTACAACACAGGATATTCCAGGCTAGGGCTCCGGTCTTTTGAATTTCACGACAATTTTTCACTTTAAACAAAGTAAATAAATAAATGGGGAATTTTAGGACTAATCGCCTGGAAAATATGCATTCCGGGAGTCTCGCCCATAAAAGTTGACGCGGAAGAAACCCTGTCCATCCGGGCTTTAGGATTTGCTCTGTTGCTCTGTGCAGAAGAGTTCGCACACGCTAAGACAAGACGATGTGACAGTCCGCTCCCAAGATCGCCATCGCCGGCGCTTTGTCACTCAGTCCTTCTGCCCGCCTGCAGCCAATCGGTGAAGTGTGAGTGCTGATTGGCTTTGAGGCCTCACCAGACTGGTGCCCAGTCTCACGTGGTCTCAGCAATGAGTCAGTAGATAGCGTGAGGCAGGCGGAGGGGTTACATGATGAAGCGGCGGCGGTGGCGGCAATCTCGGGAGCGGACTGCCACAGTACCCCCAGACTAGACCGAGCGCGGCTTGTAGTGACGTCGATGGCATTGTCCACGTCTAAAAAAATTAATGAGACAGCCAGGAAAATGAACTCGACGTCCACTGCTGGTGATATGTACGGGGGCACAGGAGAAGAGCGGGTGTATTCTGAGACTGGAGGGTTGGATGTTGGTGAGGGAATTGCACCTGGAGTGAGCAGACATGGGAGGACTGGAAATAGACGGGATGGAGGCACAGATCGTTGGGGAGGAAGAGCAGAGGGTAGGGACCACGGAGCTCGTCCGGAGAAGCCTCCGGGACAGCAGATTGACGGCGGTTCACGCCCACCACGTCCTCGTGATTTCCGCGTTGGATGCGGAAGGTCTTTGTGTCTCGGGAGCCAACCCGGAAGGAGCCGTCGCAGCGTAGTTCTAGTGGACGGTGGACTTGGTCATATCGGAGATATGACCACCAAGACTTTTTCGAGATCAGACTGACAGACTGAGACAGTTTGCAGTGACTGCGTGCTAAGATTTCTGTTTCAGTAAATCTTGCCCAACCTAATCAACCTTTCCCGAATTCTGATCTATGACTCCTAGTTTTTCGGCCATAGCACTATTGTACAACAGAAGCAGAGATTAACGTGACCGGCATTTGCGTGATTAACTGAGAAGGCAAGCCTCATCATGCGCTCGCAAATGCAACTTCCAGCTGGTTGCAAACAGATTGACGGAGTAATTCTAAACCCGTGCCAATTCAGCTTCCACAACTGCCTTAAGACCTGGTGACCGTGTGTGAATGGCAGTTTTACTACACCACAAGAAGTTTCAGACACGCGCACAGCCAATCGACTGTACGATCACTGTTACACTGACCCCTTAATCCGGCGAGTTGACCCCTTGCCTTCCAAATAGCAGCAGATAAGAAGGTAAACTCGAACATAAATGGAAATTGGTTTTACGGGAACCAGTTGAGCAGATTTTCGGAAAAACAGCCGTCTTTCCAGTTAACTGAAATTAATCCTCTAGTCCGCCAATAAAGGACGGAAAGTGTCAAACATCAGGCCAGTTACTATGGCGTCGTCACGTGAGTAATCTTCAAGCGGATACAGTGCAGATCGATTCACTACACATTGCCTCGGATAGGGCAAAACACAAAACTGGGCACAAGCAGTCTCGACCTCATTCTGACGCAGAAGTAAAAGCATATGACACCACTGCCTCTATCCTCCCCTTTCTCTCTCTGGCCTGTCTTAAGCAGTGAGCACATGCCCTGACCTTTCCAGGCTTCGTTTTCGTCCGCACCAGCTACCCCGGGTTCTGTACACAATACTGGCTTACTGGTCTGTGGCATTCTAAGTAAACCCAGTACTCAGTCCGTCAAATGGTTTTGGAGAACGCTCTACCATAACATTATCGACAAGAACAAGGGAGACTGGAATGGCCATTTCTGGCTTAATAGCTATCGTCGACCAGCCATACTCAGCCCTGAAGTGTGGAACACCTGGGGCTTGATCCTGCGACCTGTCGATTAGAAGTCCAACGCCTTTAACCACAGAGTTAGGGGCTCATTGTCCTGTCGACAGCGATCGGGAATATACAGTGGTACAGGGGCGCTCACCGTGACACGATCAGTGAGCGTCCCTCTACCAGCGCTCCGCCACTTGTCGATAATGAACTTGACTGCAATCCGTTTCTTTGGCCTTTAACTTTCTTCAGACCTTTGGTCACTGGCAGTACGACAAAGCACCAAAAGGTGTCTTGCCCCCGGAAGAGCCAGATCCCGAAAAAATATCAACCTCTTTCTCTTTCCTTGGTAAGAGAGACACTAACTGAAAAAATTAGACTGTTGATCGTCATTATTTCTCCATGTTTAATAAAAAAAACTAAGCAGTCGAAAAAAGTGCAGAGCATCTGTATTTTCTCAGATTGGATTGATCACGGCACAGGTGAGTCGTTTTCCTGATGAGCCCGTTGTCTGGCTGTCTTTGGTTTCCAGCGTTCCTAGATCGTCTTCCTTCTCGTGGATCACCAGTGACCTTCCGAGAACGCTGTAATTTCCCGTCAAGTCTATTTCAGGGTAGTATTGGTTAGTACAAAGGATCCCCTGTGCGTCACTCTGGAGGTTGCCCAGATCTCCGATATGGCGTACGGGCGTTTGGATACCCCCGTGATTCCTATAAGATATTACAGATGAAGAGACATGACTGACGCATTATTAATGCCAAATAAATTCCTAGTTGGAGTATCTACTGCATTATAATATTTGCTAGAGTTCGTACGTAAATTTGCCTGTCTGATGCTGATGACACTGGCAAAAATGAGGTAGTCGTTTTTTGGTTAACTTTGCCATTGTTTGCAAGACATACCCAGACCTCGGACTGGAAATACCAGATTTGCTGGTCTTTGGGCTAAAAACTTCGCCATTGGGCCGCAGGGCTACGCCCTGGTGTTTGCGATCAGGAATGTTCAAGTAAATGAACTGGTGTTCAACAATCTATCCTGACTTAAGAGCTGAAAATGATTAAACAGTTTTGTTGTGAATCACTTATTTGGAGCCCACATAGGCGGTACTTTGGTACTTCCTCATCGAAATAGAATTGTGCGAATGCCCATCAGTGTCCTGTAACACCATGGCTACTGCTCCAAGTATGGACGAAGAGAAATCCAATGAGACCCTGTTGGTCAACGTCGCACCAAAGTTTGTGTTAAATTATCATTACCGATGACGAACCTGATTATAAGGGTCTCGCTTAGTAGAGTGGGGTTTTGGCTAGATCGCAGTTGGTAGCCAGGAATGGGGAATCGGACGGCGACCTTAACCCTAATCCTAACCTTAACCCTAACCTTAACCTTAAACGTTAATCGTTAATCCTAACGGCAACCTTAACCCTAACCCTAACCGAAATCGTAAACGTAACCGTATTCCTTAGACATAGCCCTCACTGTAAAACCTAACCGCAATACTGAAACCTAGTCGTAAACTCGAACCCTAACCGTAACCCCGAAACCTAAGCCTAAAGAGCATAACCCTAACCCGAAAATCAGACACCATTAACCGGTACCCTAATCCTAACCTCAAACGCAAAACGGAAGCCAAATGGGTCAGATGTGCCTATGTAGCCCCACAAAAAACCCCAGTAAACAAAACCTCCCAGCCACCTGTAATACGGGCCTGGATACCAGCTGCGATCTGGCCGGGGTCTTTTTCAGATGAGTCATGAAAATACGATCTTCAGTTACAAATAACGCAAATAAATTACGACTGTTCGACTAAGTGGTCAGGAATGTGTGAGATTATATGGGTAATTTTTCTGACCAGACGGCTTCACGGCTTGCCTACTTCCACATTAGTCAAGTGTCCTTCACTCTCATAGTGTACAGCATTTTAGAGTCTAATTCTTCTTGAAAGTCGGAAACATAAACTCGATATTATTTCTGCCCCATATTTCCAGACCGTTTTGTGTCTGACCGAGGTCTGTATATGATCCGTATTTGACCACAGCTTCCAGGAAGTATCACCCGGATCGAACGAAACCAATTGGCTTCGCTTTCAAATGTTTACACTCAAATCTATTGGCATAGTTTTCCAAAATTCAATATGAATGCCAGGACAGGCTATAATGCGCTCAATTTTGCCAAATCAACTATCAAGAAAATGGAAAACATGACCTTTTAATCCACAAAACACGAGAGACTGGAGTGAGGCATTTTTGGGTTGTTCACCGTTGACACTTAGTCAAACCCCAAATTCAAGTCTGCCGGACCGGGACTCCAACCCGGACCTTTTGCCACTCGGGCATCAAAATAACAGTTCCACTATTGCATCAGGGCCTCGGTGCTATTTTTGCATCGAGTCCTTCCCAGTGTAGAGCATTCAAAGGCCGCTGGTCGGCCGCTAACAATCAATAACCTAGAAGATTTGTGACAAAACCTGCAATCGAGATAGGTTGGTGAGCGGTACTTTCAAGCGAATATGTATTATTTCGGCTCAAAAATACGTCCGTTGTTCGCAACTTCCAACAACTGGAGACAGTCAAGTAACCACGGCGAAGTACCTCACGCAGAATAAAACTAAGACCTTCACAATGCATTCAATGTCATCGTCAGATGGACCCGACTTGATGCTTGTGGTCATTAACTGTAATATTTCGTCTCGCAGCAAAAAAGTGACAGATTTTCTTCCTGAAAATTTCGGATTTTTTTTAGAAAAAACATCTGTTAACACCGTAGGTGTCCCAGAATTATCCTTGGATCAAAGATACAAATCTTTACACCTCTTAACATTTCAAGAACCCCGCTGTAAATTAAAAGTGCATTGAGTAGCGGCAAGAGCAACAACTACCATCGGACAGAAATGATGTGAACTTGCATGTTTAGGGGATTATAATGTGCTCCCGCATCTAGGCAGTTATTCCCCAGCCGTCCAAACTCGTGCACATGAAATCCGTGTTTGCTGTTTGGTGGAAACCCAGTGAGGCAGCCGCTTATCATAATTCCCTTGGAGAGTTGCGTCAGTGTGAGTTCGCCAGCGTAGGGGGCCTCAAATACGGCTCTTGCAAATTTGGTCCCGTCTTTATAATGCGGAAAGGCTGATTAATTATTTGTTCAGGAATACTGCAAAGGCATAACACAGTGCAAACACTCCGTCCATACTTACTGTTGTGCGCAATAGCTTGGAGATCGCAAGAATAAAGTAGAATGAGAAAAAGCAGACAACAGACGCTAGTTTTCATGACGGATTCGGCTTCGCAAAATGTCGCTGGCGTAACAGTAGCTCTATTCCTTTTATACATATGCGCCTGCACAATCCGCTGACAGGGGCCGAAACAGTTGTGTGCATGCATGTGGAAGTTCAGCGACCACGAGGTCACTCACACATGACTGTGACCCACTGGTCTTTGAGCACTCAGTTTTTTAAGTTCTGCTCAATGAACACGCACACACAATCGCTAACAGGCGGTTGAACTGCCGAGGATTAAAAGCGCTATTTTCACAGAATTAAACTCAACAAGGTCGAACTTAAGAGGGGAGCACAGTTAAACGGCTTACTGAAAGTTCAATAACTATCATGCAAACATCAGCATCCAATATTTAATTTAGAGGTTTTGCAGCCATTTCCAGCTTAACTGTTGTTGTCGGCCTAGGTATAACCCAAATGTCGACCTTTGTTATTGAGTAGCAGTACATACCTGGGTCTTTGCATATTTCTGCAACGTGAGCGATTAGGAAGGATTACTTAGATGGGATTGCAATACTGACTAACATGCGGCCTAGTCTTGTAATATTTCGGACTCGCCAGGAGGTCGGCTTTCGAATGCACTCCTTTCGATCTCCTGTAAAATCCGCACTCGATAAAACAATGACTACTTATTTATCATGCACATTTTACATTGATTCCGATATTTTTATAAATTCAAATGTATTTTATAGGAAACATGCACGAGGATATGCTTTCCTTTTATTCGCATGGTAGCAACTCACGTTATCTTCACATTTTATACTCGAAGAAAAGATATCTTTCGATTTTAAAAAGTCTTTGATTATGAGATGGTAACAATCGGGAGATGGCACCCAAAAAACCGTTACCTAGAAATAATGCCTTTAACAGTGGAATCAAACGCCTTCAGGCTATATCAGTGATTAATAGGATAAGTCTGCACAACATGGGACAGGAACAGTTCCCAGGCATCTGTCAAAGACTTGGAATTGAGGCCAAACCAAGGACGATACTGTACTTTCGTCTATGTGAGCCCACACAGCTCGACTACGTACAGGGCCTCCCTCGGGGAGTTTCCTTTTCAGTCTACTCCAGTATGCCTCAATGGCATTGGTGTGCCGTTCGGTGGCAGAGTTCTTGAAGTTCTTTGAGTGGTTAACATAGAAATGTAGATAAACTTCTGAGGGAAGACGATTATACACCTTCCACTCGTCCGTTACCACAATACCGCCTTTGGCGACCCATTTTGTGATAACGGAACGGACAGCGGACCAACTTCGATCATTCCCCTGTTCAAATAAGGCTTTCCGTCGGTTGGTATCGTACTTCCCGACCAGCCACTACCCATAAAGCCCCTATTACCATCTGTCCCGTAAGACAGGCTGCTTTGGTTAGGCGGATTTTTTTGGGTGCCTTCTTCCGATCGTTACCTATGAAATTTTTTAAGACCGTGCAATGTCCACTCATACTGCACCGTATCTGTTCGTTTAGACATGCATCTCGTTAAGTATACAGCATAGTTCACATGGAGTGCAACATTTCATAAACCTTATTTTCTTAAAAGCATGGAGGAATGAATGGTTTTTCCTTACGCGGAAAACATGCGCCGTGTAGAATGAAATCGCTAAATGCTACCGGAGCGGCTGATCAGGCTCGAAAGTATTCGGGAATCGGAAGACTTTTTCAAAACCCAAATATACCTTTTCTTCGAGTATGAAATGTAAAGACAACGGGATTTTCTACCAAATGAAGAAAAGAAAGCATATCTTTATGCATGTTTTCTATAAAATATATGTGAATTTATAAGGCCGTCGAAAATCAATGTGGGAAATGCATGCTACAAAAGTAGTCATTATTTTCTCTAATGCAGCTTTTACAGGAGGTCGAGGAGAGTGCATTCAGAAGCCGACCTCCTAGCGAATCGGAAATATCGTAGGATTAGGCTGCACGATAGTCAATATTACAACCCCACCTAAGTAATCCTTCCCAAGCGAAAAACGTATTTCAGAATTTTGGCCAACATTTCATGAGATCGGTCGCTCATCGTAAGTGAGCGTCATAGAATCAGTCAGAGAGGAATCTGCTAATGGCGGCGAATATAAGTTGGTTAATGTCTGGTGGAGGGGAGGAGTAAGGGGACATACAACACCTGCAGACCAGGAGGACAATGGGAGGTTAGGCGGGTGATCCAGTTGCTCGCACAAATCTGATTTTCTCTCCTGTATTTCAGCGGCTCCCGAAACCTAACTCCCTCCCCAACCTGGGATTCACAACCCGATCATTGCCATGTTAGTACTTATTAGTGCAATAAGTGACACCCGGTTTTGGGCTCTCATTTGACAGGCGTTCGCTCAATCGGCCGGCCAACTGTCACTGCGGACGCTCATCACGCTCGCTCACAAAGCAAAAACCGCGAGTAAGTCGGAGACGCGCTAAGAAGCGATGGATGGAGAGGCGAGTTCCCGAAAACAGTCAAGAGGGAGGGGGACGTGATCGCTGGTACAAGAATTGGCCGTACAACGAGACGCCTGGTGAAGAGGGTGCGCGAACATATGCCGGTCTGGCTAGACAGAGGTGAGACCCGATCGATTTCGAGTTCCATTCTCGCACATTTAGTCGATACGAATCACCGAGACGATGTCAAGGAAGCATTTCAGATTGTCTACCGGACATCATCAGGCTCCTCTAAAGGCCTACGCCAACGGATGCTGATGGATACTCCGTGTACTCACTCCAAGAACATCACTCAAAGACTCTCTTACCCCCTCCCCTAGCTCTGAGGACCAAAAGCCGCCGACCTCGTCATGCGGGCGGCGTGGGGAAGATGAGTGTTAATGACTTAATAGCCCTTGAGACACCTATAAGCACTGTTCATTTTGTGCATTGTCATTCCTCCATGTAACGAAAACGAAAACAAGGGCTTGTCAACTTGACTTTTCAAGAGTAACATGGGAATATTTGCGGAACTTAGAATTTTATTTGCCTGAGGTTTCACAGCTCATTCGAGGGGACCCCGCCACACATCTGTCTTCGATGAAGCGAAAATTTTCGTGAGAACTGACAACCAGGTAAGCCCTAAACTACTTGAGTCAGAGTTCTCCGGCCTGCAATCGATTAATGCGCCCTTTGACCTTCGGTGCCGAGACTGTCCGGACGGAGTAGAGAGACACGCGGGGAGCGTGTGGACGAGCACTGACCCTGGTGCCAATGTCGGTAGCCAGTTAACCCAAAAACCCACACAAGTGATGAAACTTCGACAGTTATCAACTCGGCTATGGGCAGGCAAGCCATTATCGCATCAGATCTGTGATGAACGTGACATCTGCCAATTTTGATAAGCATGCAGTGTCTTAACAATGACATCCTATAAATACTGCAAGACTTGTGGAAAATATGATCCATGCCCGACTCTGTCTCTGCCAATGAAGTCGATCGTAGTTCGGAAACACCAGGTAAACAAAACTCTGTCGATAGGAATGAAAAGACGAGTTCCGGGGGGCAGTCCAGAATAGGAAATGCGACTGTCTGTGATGATTGGTTCAAGTGAGAATCTGAAACGTCAGGCCAATAAAATTCGCATTCCCGTGATCGTACTGTCTTCTTTAGAAATAAAAGTTTCATTTTAACCATCGTGTCTCCTTCTTCCCAAAAAACATTTCAAATCCGTCTAAGTGAAATTTGTGTACTGTCATATTTTTACAAATAGATCCTAACAGTTCATCCAACGTATGCCACGAGCACCACCATCACCCCAGAGGGGGGGGGCATGATGAATTTGTTTATGATGAGACGGACTTGCGCAGATTCTGCCTCACTTCAATCTTCTAGCGCCCAATGGCCAGGCAGGTTCGAATGCCTGGGAGTGGGTGCAAACTCAGGATCCAACAGCTCTCGATAGGCCGTCTATGCGCGGCTCACATGACCTAGTCCTTATTTTCTCATGAACTAGGTTTTAAGCAAAAGGGAGGTCATCAACTTCATACTAAGAGGGAGCAGCTGCAGAATGACACGCATATTTGAGTAGTATCTACTTGTCCCTTAAGGTAATAACCTTCCAAGGCATGACTGTTACCTTGTTGTAATGGTTCCATGCGCTTCAGACTTCATGTCGTGAGAAGATTAAGAGTTAAATCTGGGTTGGATTAATCTCTCTCCCTTTCTTCTGTTCACCTACGGCCCTTCCGCACCTTTCGTCCAACTGGTGCTTGGGCCTGACACGTACCACACTCCAGGAGAACTTGGCTCAGCCAGTCTAATCAATGCTGCGTACCCCCTTCAACGGTGAAAGCTGTTTGAGACACAAACAGGGTTTTCTATGGCGGCACTTGTGCCTCGGACAACCACACTTTACTCGACTACCGCTTGTTCCCATAAAAGTGGATGATAGCTGTGATGAGCAGCTCCAAAATGTGGACATTTTAAAATCGATAACGATTCAGGCGGCGACCACAACACCCCTTCCCCAAGCCTGTTACTCATTTTCAAGGTTCACAAAGCTCGATAAAACAAGAGGGTAATCTGAGCTGGTAAAAGCGCAGTCATTACGTCTCTGCACTGTCCTCTAACCATTCACTATGGAGACACTTGGGGCATATTGGGGTTATCGAGCAATGCCCGATAGGCCAAAGGAACGGTTCTGTTCAAGTGAGCTTTTGGCTCAATTTCTTAAGGAGCGGAGCTGAGGTCATAAGAACGAGTTTTGCCTTCCATACCCCGCAGAGTTTAATGAACCTCATGTCTGTACTGGTTTTCTGTGATTTCTGGGTACCTTACTGAAAACCTGGAGGACAAACTGGCACAACCCAAAGAAGGATCGTTTTTAGAACAGTTTTTGCCATCAAATAAGTTAATATAGGCAAATATCCACTAATGGGGAGTGGAATTCATACTTGTTATCATTTCCGTCCACTAGCCACTCAAACATCTGATCTGCTAAGCAGCACTCTGTTATCAGAACGCTTAGCACTGTGCAAACTGAGACATGAGTAAATTTAACACAAATCAGTTTATTTTGAA